ATAAAGCTACCATTCACTTAACACGACCACCCCAGCATCACCACTCCGAGTAAAACCAAGGCAGTAAGCTAGCTAGCTAGTTTCAAGCGGGCTCAGGCTTACTTTAGTATGGGACAATTATATTCACTAGCTCCAGCCAAGATAGCACTTAACACTAGAGTAAAACTTAGGGAATAGCTATTTTTATTAATTTTCTTTATTTCTAGTGTGAAGGTCACGGAGTAAGGTATACTTCCTTCCAGTACAATGTTTTCATAACAAAGCAAAAGAGTCGAGTAAGTCTGGATACATTGTATCCATTTTCCTTAAGTCATCATCATGTCTTCCCATCCTAGAGCTTTTACTATTTACGAAACAGTAGCCTTGTCCTTGGGAAGAGGGGTGAATCTCAAGTACGGCTTCACGATGCGGAAGTCGGGGAATAGTTCCTTAGCCTGCTCGTTCTTGACGCTAGGGTGAACGATGACATCGTCACCGGGGACCCAGTTGATGGGGGTAGTGATCTTGTGCTTGTCTCCAGTCTGGAGAGAGTCGACAATTCGTAGAACCTCAGCCGAGTTGCGGCCAGTAGAAGCGGGGTAGGAAAGGATGGTTCGGATGGTCTTCTTGGGGTCGATGATGAAGACAGAGCGGATGGTAAAGGCAATGCCCTTCTCGTCGACGTTGGTAGTGTCTTGGTAGTCAAGCCTAAGGCGCGGATGGCCCTGTCAGAATTCGTGTCGAGACCCAGGGCAGATGACAACTTACATGTCGTAGAGGTAAGCAACCTTACGCTCCTTGTCTGCGATAATAGGGAATGCGACATGGCCGCCCGTGACCTCGTCAATGTCCTTGATCCAGCTCTCGTGGCTGCCACGAGTGTTGGCGGACAGACCGATCAGCTTAACGCCTCGCTTAGTGAACTCAGGTTCAAGCTTGGCGAAGGCACCGAGCTCGGTAGTGCAGACGGGAGTGAAGTCTTCCGGGTGAGAGAAGAAAACAACCCAACCATCGCCGACGAACTCGTGGAAGTCGATGGGACCTTTAGTGGTCTCGGCCTGGAAGTTAGGGGCGACAGTGCCTAGGCGGAGGCTGCATCAACGTGTAAGCCGCGTGGATAGCTTGAAAAGCTCAGTATAAAAATTTCAGGAAACTTACGGTGCAGCTCGAGAGTCGGCCATTGTGATTAGTAGGAGTCTAGTATAAAGATTTTGGAGGAAAATGCGATTGGGTATCTGGGTGAGGATGGGTATCACGAGTCAGAAAGTAAAAAGAAAAGAGAGGTGGTGGTGAAAGGGAGGGCCGGTTCGACGCCGGGTTAGCGCACGACGTCAGCTATATAATCACCACATGGAGCTCCAATAAGTAGTCCGTTCGCTCGGGATACTGTTCACATGCGGCTGGCTAAGATGGGTGGGCCATGGATCGAAGATAGATAAATTGGCTTAGGATTCATGCCTAGCCAATAGCCAGCTCTACTCATGGCTATCAAGACCTAAACGGGAATCTACAGACTACTTTCGTAAATGTCGCAATTCATTGATTATCTTATGTTTTCTCGTCGAAGGCTACGTTTTGACATGCCCCGCGCAGCCCACGACGCCCTGGCGCAAGGCCGAGTCGATAGAGTAACCCCTCACTAGTCTACTTCTAGAATAGAAGCCTATTGCGTGCTGCAACGCTGCTCTTATTGGCTACCAGCTTCAACCTTTCTCCGCATCATGTCATCAAAGCCTTACGATGGTATCATCAACATCCCCCGCTACATACATCTAGTTCCGGCCCTCGGCCGGCTCCTATTACATATAAGTGACGGATATCGGGAGAGAGGCAGTATATGATCTCTGCCTAGATACTGTAATGTCTAAGGGAATATGTGTACAACATATCTTGGAACCAATGGGTGTTATAGATTATGTAGTATAAATAGTAAGCCAGCTCTACCAAGTGTTCAACCTTGATGTCTTTCTACAAACAAGATTAGCCAAGAACAATAAACCTACCTAGGTATTTAACACTCGGATTTTATAATAAAGTATCTAATGATTTTAGTGCCAACAGATCATTCTAATTACTTGTACAAGTGTGAATCAAATCTAAGTGTTTTTTAAAAAGAAATAACATGAGACCATGCCTATACGTATAATTGCGTTCGAGCCTAGTTCGACTGCTTCTATACATAGGATCAAATCTCGAATATGAATGCCGTAGTACAGAAGTCTCCAAGAGATATCGAAGTACTTGAGGATGTCACTTTTGAAATGATTTTGCTGCCGCTTGCTACTTGAACCTCGCGGTTTAAATCATTTATGCAACCAATTATTATTTCTATACAGACATGATCAATTATAATAGCAACTAAAATGATAATCGCTACTTATATTATACGAAACCGACACGGAGTAAGAAGGGATATTGTTTTATAAGTTACTAGTCTAAAGCAAAATAGACGGAAGTCGTTTAGATGTAGTTTAGTAGAGGAAGAGATAGTAGGAGAGAAGGGTAGGATATATTCCCCTTTTTAAGGTCCTTGATTAAGTTACCAAAACTTAATTGCACATGTGTGCAATTTTACTCACTTTACCCTCAAGTACTGGCGTGACATAAATAGATACTCAACTTATGTTAGCAAAGAAAGACTTTGAGAAGACTAAGATATGTTACTTTAGGAATTATGTAAAACAATTAGCCAATTAAATTTAAATGAGCAATGTGCCGTGTCTCCCTAGTACTTGAGGGCATGGTTTTAGTCACGGCTTCGTCTTAAGGGGTTTGAAGGCAGACAGAATATATAGAAAATAATTTCGAAACGTATCAATTACTCTTATTCAAGTATGTAACTGTAAAAGCGACATATATTATATTTACCTAGGTGTACAAGTATTAGGCTCATATAACTCGTAAAACAAGCCTTCCAATGCCATCCTATTAATAATAGGAGACATCTAGAAGACTGTGGGGAAGCTGCTAATTATAGAACCGTCGACGGGAGAGAAAGCTATAGGCTGCATCAGCCGTACGATTGCACGAATAGATTTCTCCTATCTCAGTCTAGAATCCTGCCCGGCAAAGAGCAATGACATCTACTATATATTACACACCCCCATTACCACATATAACGGCGGCATTGGAACATGTCAAATATCAGGGGCCCACCGGGCCGCGTACCCCAGTGCATAATCAAGTTTAAAAGGATCAGAACTGCCGCTCACTGTAGCCATACAAGACTCTCTGTCCACCTTATGAGGATCCCACCTCGCCTCAAATATCTTGTTTTCAAGCGTATATAAATGCAATCCGTGTAAACTCACTCCTAAGCCAACTCATCCGACATCAACCACCTACACATACACCAGGCCATGTCCCATTTGCGCGGTTAACCAATCGATGAAAGCCGTAAGTTGACCCTCTGGGGCCAACTGAGCCTAAATTTAGCTGTGCATATAAATGTGGTCACCATATAGCGTTTGTAGCATGGAGATGTCCCCATAGTCATCTGATTTATTACTCCGGGGAAAAAAAAAGGGGGTCGGTCGATCGAATCAAATAAATTTGTAAAATATTTGACCACAGATACGACGCTGGATATCGAACACCCTTGTAAATGATTGGACTCCCGATATTTTCGATCGATGACGCATTTTTTTCTTACCCGGATGGGTGAAGATATTTTCAACACCTGGTATGGGGTATCTGGGGAAATACTGGTGGTTAGCGGGTTTTAATTAGGGACGGATAGAGATAATCTGAGAAGTGCTCAGACTGGTCTGAGCTGATATACTTACATTCAATATCTCGAATCTCACCATAAATGGCCTGTTTTCTTTTTTCTCAAAGTTCCGCCGTTGAGGTTAGACTCTCGTCTAAAAGTCCGTGTCCTCCTTTGGCGTACAGTCGTCGCAGAGTCCACCGGCATCTGACTCTTCCTCTCTTACGAGGTCCTTGTGACTGCACTCGCCCGTCTCATCGTATTCCGCACAGTCCTCAACTTTGACCTCATCACTGGTGTACCACTGCAAGGAACTAGTTAGCCTTCGTTCTTGTTTAAAGCATGTTTCTGGGGTAATGTATTAAGCTCGTAAGAACCTGTTTGGTGTGGCCTGTATGTAGCCTTGGAAGATACTCTAAGGGTTATTCTCGTGAATAGGATATGCGTAGGATGAGTTGAGACATCTAGAGAAAAAAAAGCATACTGCTCCGCACTCCTCACAGTACCACTTCAACAACATGTATTCGCACATATTCGGATAGGTGTTCACTAGTGCCCCGAGTCTTTAACAATGGAAGAGGTAGTAGGCTTCGAGAACATGAATCTCGATCATATCCCGCTTCCCGGGAGCCTCTAAGGCAACTTGAGTCATGTTACTCAGGGAACGCCACAGACTCACGGGCCTCTACTCTGATTCACGGTATTCGCATTGACTCGCAAGACGTGGACGTTCCTGGAGACACTGACACACCAACAGCACTGGTGAATATCATCCGACTTCTGCCACGTGTGCAGGCGAGTACGAGCGGGATCTGTGGCGTCTAGAAAATACTTGACAAATCTTTTCATAGCTAGGACGAACAAAAAAATTGTATACTTTAATAAAGCGATAAGAATTTCATCAATTGGTTGCATATACATGGCAACATCACAGGCATTTCCGATCCTAATTTATTGAGCAACATATCGGGACAGACACGAGACTTTTGATTGGCTCAAAGTTGTTGAAGCCTTCTCAGGCTGTACTTCAGGTATCATTTAGAAATGCATCTACCCGAGCGAATAATTACCGCAATCCTCTAAAAAATGTTTCCGGAGAACGGGCACCTCAAGCGACCTGAAGCGACCTGGGATGATGTAAGCTGGAGCTTCGAGGTCCGGCGTCCCTGTAGATCCGACACGGAGAACTCCGCGTAGCACCATGTGATAACTGGCCGTGATATTGAGGAAATCTACCTCCGGATATCCGAGGTGAATCACATGCTGCCCAAGTACCCTTATAAGCTTAAATTTGCGTCTTGCTATTGTAATATTAGCGACTAATACCTCTGACGATCTTGGAGTGTTTGACGAACCCAATGCCACTTAGTGCCTCGGTGTCTAAGCGGTTTCTTTTATCAACTCCACCAGCTATCGGATTCGCTCGGTAATTAAAAAGATAATAGTGGAGCTGACCATCTCCAGGACCGAATTTCTGTTCTTCTAGGAACAAGCCGTTATCCATGAGCGAGAGGGCGTTGTAGACGTCAAATTGATACTGCTTGCAGAACACTAAAGAGTCTGAAACAAGAGCATTAAGACGGGGTTTCAAGGCCTCCTTATCGACAGGAGTGGTGAGTCCTGTTTCGGTAGCATAGTAGAAGAGGTAAGCTGCTTTCACGTTTGAGTGTTTAGAGGGTCCGATAACCGAGGATTCGAGACAATAAAACGAGACAAAGTCAGTAATTTTCTTATGTTCATCCTATCGATGCGGTTAGCTTAATCAGAATCCTACGCGGGCAAGGAAAATTACCTCGACAACGTAAGTCCAGACGACTTGCTCTTCTAGGGCATTTTTTTTGTTGTGCAGTAGCCAATGTTCGACTTCCTGCTTGTCAAACTCGGCGGCCAACTCATACTTGGCCAAGTACCGAGTGAGAAGATCTTGAACAGCACCAACGTCTTTCTTTTGCATCTCTCTTAGTCCCCTGATTGAAGTTCGTTCCGGCACGGCGTATTTCCTGATCTGGAACTGGGGCTTGCTGTTTGGTGGTAAGGGGCTGAATCCGACTTCGTATAGTTTCTGCCAATTAATAGCTCGGTGGTAATATCGACAGGTGCTCACAGGCTTTGGGAGCACGATACCTCCGGTATAAATGGCCTGGAAGACACCTTCCAAGTTGCACAGGCGCGTTATCTCTTTAATAAGTACCGGAGCAAGACGCTTGGAGCGAAGTTTTTTATGTATACAAAGGAAGTTGACCTCAGAGGCATGTAATACCTTGTCTCTAACGCGCAGCTCGACGGGAATAGCAGCGATGAATGCAACTAACTTCTTGGAATGTGAGGCCCGAACTCCTCGGTGCCATTCTTTTTTCCATCCGGGTGGCATCATCGCCCTAAACATAAGTTAGTTCGCTAATGATCTCTCTAATTTCTGCTTTGCTTTTATGAATACGAGAGAGAAAAGGCAAAAATGGGTGTAGCTAGCTCGAGAGTAAAATTCCCTACCATTTAAGGATACTAGCGGAATAATTGAAGCGGAACATAGCTTCATCATCTTCAACGTAATGACCATTTAGTAGTTCCCATACCTCCTTCAGCTGGCTATCGTCAAGTAAGTCTAAGGTGGACCATTCGAAGCCGTCGAGTAGAGGTGCAGGTGTCTTGGGAATCTCTTCGACTGTCTGGAGTCTGATAGGACCTTCTTCGATAGGCTGATCGGGGTTATCTTCTCCAAATCTGGGGACAGGTTGGGTGGCCCAGAACTTGTAGGCGCCCATATCCTTGACATTTTTCCCACTGGAAGCCAACCCCGTCATAATATCCTGGAGATTAAGGCGCTTAAGAGCGTCGGTGGCGGAATTAACATCATCATTGCTACTACTACTGCCAAGTTCGTTCGCGAGGGCAGGATTGAGGTCGAGAAGTTGGGTTACTTGGTCCTTAGAGAGTCCATCAATAGCTTTATGAATCTTCTTAGCAGCCCTTTCCTTTTCCTTTTCCTTCTCTTTTTCTTTTCCCTTACCCTTGACGGGTTTTGATTCTTCGGACATGGTGTACTATATGCCGTGTGCCGTATGCCAAGTCGTAGTTCGAGGGTAGAAGGATGAAGGGTGCTCTAAAAGAAAGTGCTTGGAAGTTGTGTTCAGGTTAAGAGCTAAGGTCAATGCATCTCATCGATGGCAGGGTTACAGTGCGGGGCAACATTAACCCCGCTATAAATCTCTAGCTGCATATCTCTTCCTACTTACATACATGTACCTGGTGTACATAGGGAAGCGTTACCCAATCTTAGGCACGTACCTGAAGGTACCTAAGATGTACATGTATTATACTTGATACCTGTTCCTGCATTCAACTCATGTATACCAGGTTCATGTACAAAGAAAATACTACATGAGGTGTAGATCATTTAAATTGCATATAGGTGGACGCATATGGATGGATGTATACCTTAGGTACCTAGGTAGTCTTGGCTCTAGAAGTTTGCGTATGAGAATTTAATCAGTATTTTTCTGAATCTTATGTGGTCAAGGTCTATAATGTTTGGTATTGCGATATATAAAGATGCTTAACTAAATACTTATAGCATTGAGCTCAAACGATCTCATAACGGCGAGCGAGACTGATGAGGACACCATTACTTCGTTGTGTCCTTTTTCTATTAGTATTACCCCCAATTTTCGTTTTCTTGACTAGGCTACTCACCACTATACGACACAAGTTCTTCCCTGATGATAATATCTGGTCCAGCTTTGGCAACCGTCGTAAATGTCTCATCATCTCTGTGTAGGGTTCGCTGTTCTTTCCATGATAAAAAGTTGTCGTTGTCCAAGTCTTCTCCAGTGGTAGCGCTAGCCGCCGATTTGAATAACGCATCGCTCTCATGAGATGGTACCGCTATGTCATTCTTGGCATGGATAAAAGTCAGTCGTAGCCTTGTTCGTGTTAATCTCACCACATGGGCAAGTCGGTCTGCCGACTTCCACTTATCCACGATAAAGTTTTGGAAGAACCGGAGGACCGGTGGGATTGGGCGAAGCAGCGAAAGCACCGGGATAAAACCCGCTGCTGAATATGAGGAAAGAAGAGTTGGCAGGTCCGAGAACCCGGCAATGAGAATTATACCCGCGAATTCGATTCCTTGCATAGCGAAATGTTCTGCGACGCCGCTTGTAACAGCCGTCCCAAGGCTATGGCCCATTATGACTATTCGGCTGGCTGGGATATCCGCCACTTGCATTGCCCAATCCACGGCAGCAATACCGTCGTGGATTAGCCCTGCCTCTGATGGCGTACCGGTAGATTTACCAAAGCCACGGTAATCAATGGCCAGAACATGGTAATGTGACGAATCAGTCAGGGTGTGATAACTGTCGGGGCGGTATCCCTGGGCAACATGGCCACCGTTCTGTAGCGTATTAAAGTTAATAATCGTAATATTAATTGACGCCATATCTCAGGTATTCACTAACCCCATGAACTGTGGATTAGTAGTTAGTATTAAGTAGCAATCTACGTAGTATAAGTTGGATCTTTCGTACAATATATTACAATGCGAGCATCGGGGTCCTCTTTGAGTAGCTTAAATGATGCCGTCTTGGTAATATCGTTCGAGTAGCCTCGTTGTTGAGCCTGGAGCTTGTCCTCGTGCTTCAAATAGGCTGTAAGAGGTAGAATATGCCACGCGTAGATGCTCTCTCCATCAGCGGTACTTAGAGAGAAAGGCGTTACTTGGTTCCCTTTAGATTGATTACATCAGTTGAGGTGTTACTTTACATTCATCTTATATGAAGCCTGAACTTACTAGCGAACCCCCAATACTCTGGTTTATTTAAGTCATGCCAGAACAACGTATTAATTCGATGACAGTACAAAAAGCTACAATTGTTCCAGCTATCAGCGTATTGTAATAAACGGGAACCGATGACCTTACTGTCTTTGAAAAAAAGGAAAGGCGCCTAGTAAGATGAAGAGCAGATAGAGACCAAATGGGACGCCTAGACTAATGCCTACGGGGATGGCCCACCGTGGAGTTCTCGAGGTCATAATTGCTAAGGAGACTCTGTATACTCTAAGGAATGAAAAAGAAGAAATTGAAATTCTGTAATGGGTTTATGTTGGATCATGCAGGTGAGAGTTATCCATGTCGGTTGAAAGTCAAGTACTTGGTACCTGAAGCTTTACACAGAGAGGAATAACCCGATATCTTAATAACTGCTTATAAATGCATAAGATATTATGCCTAAGCCAGAATATAGGGTTATTAAATATTTACGTATTAACGCAGCTACAAAGCTTGCATATGAATGCGGGTCTTGCGGCGAACCCTGATAACCTGATCCTCTCCCCGGATACCTAAACCTATAAGGATTTAGTTAAGGTACCGTATCAGCTCAGCGTATCTAGGAGTACACCAAAAAATTGACCCGCCTTTCCACCACTAATTACAAACTCTCACTTCTTCCCTTGTTATTGATTGAGCTACTATTCAAAAGTTTCCTATATCCCACCACTCAATCGAAAATCAAAGCCGATCTCACGTCGAATTACCCTACGTTATTGATAGACTTTTGTCCTTATTTACATAATATTCTCGTGCTTCTCCTCTTACCATACGATAACTTACTACTACGTGACGTTAGCTCTGGTCCTTGGCATTATCATTGTCGTCTCGAGAGATTGGTATTATTACCAAAATGCACTTAGAGTTTTCCTTCTGTTGATGGAATACAGCATCTATTTTTCTTCTCTTCACATCTCTACAGTTACTCACTTGAGCTTCTTCGAGCGGTAGAAGCACTTGTATACTTTGTTGCGATGGAGAGAAAACGAAAGCTACCGGCGAGGGCTGCCGCAAGAGTTGAACATGTCTCCAAAAAACGAACTGCAACACCTCCCGAACGATCTGTAACTCCAGTTCCAGCATCGGCATCGACTCCGATATCTACTGAAATTGTTCCGGAAGACCCCCCTCTACCAAAATCTATCCAGGCCGGTAATCCCTTACCGACCGTTGAACATCCGCAACCCGATGATCTCTTAAGTAAAGATTATCAATCCATTCAAGAAAGGTATATATATGTTTAGCCTTCCCTGTCGACAGAAAATGTGCTAATAATATTATCTTAGTGGTGTCCTAGCTGAATCACTCTTAAGATCGCGTCAAAAATGGGCTCACGAAGGCGTCTTTGAGAAATATTGGACCAAACCCACGAAACGGAAAGGCGTTGTGAAAGAGGACCCCAACAACCCCCCTAAAGATAGTATGACCAAGATCGGTCAAGTTACAATTACTGTCGAGCCTCACGTTCTCGAAGCCACCATGTACGCTGTCAAAGATCCGAAACCTGCGCCTACTACCAACTCTACTTTCCGACCCATCGTACAATATGGTCCTCCAAATGGCGCCATGCCCCCTCCTCCGAAACCGAGTACACCATCCACACCGAACGCACCGATAGCCTCACCTTCACAGCCGCCGGCTCAGCCACCCTCGCAGTCATCATCGACAGCGCAACCGCCAGTACAAGCGCAAGGCCAGACACAATCTCAGTCGCAAACGCAGCAGTTAGATATGCAGCGGCCTCCATCTACCACTATACCTCCTAATAAACCATTAGCCTCCCCACGTGGTCTAGAGTCGGTCCTTGCCGCTCCTCAGCACCCACCGACGATCCCTCCCACGACAGGCCCCTCACAGCCAGTACCCCCTCAGGCTAGAGGGCCCTCTCAACCCGCATTGAGTACCAACCGACCGCTACATGCTCCTAACTCAGGAGCAACTACGGCTGTTACGGGACCGCCTGTCCCCGCACCAGCCAAGTCTTCTACGCCAGCTGCAAAACCAGCAACGCCGACTGCTCCCGGTGCTGATCCCATAATAGTTACGCTTGCAGAGAGAGCATCTGAAGATCCCCAACTTCGTGATCTTATGAAACGCGTTGCTATTGGCGACGCCGCACCCGCTGAGTTGGCACACTTTCAAAAGATAATTGACCAGATTACCGCCGATTATAAGAAAAAGGGGGGCCAACAAGGCCCATCAGCGGATAGGCTCATCGTAGATGGAAGAACGGTGAAGTATTTCGCCGACGAGGTCCGAACTATACTTGAAATCGTTCTCGCTTCCAACCCGAACCAGAGATCTAATGACCTGAGGACACCACAAGGAAGCGATCCATTAGTAATTCTGCTCTTGAAGAAGGCCTTGGATGACGTGACTACGCGGGACATTGTTAAGAGAATAGCTGAGGGCAAAACTAGATTCACAGATACCACAGATTTGAAGACAACTCTTGATAAGCTGAAGGATCTTGTAGTGAAGGAAACCTCAAAGCCTCAGCAGGTAACACCAGGGGCTTCTCAGACAACGGCTACGAATGGGGTAGAGAGTCCTACTGTACAAACCAGTTCTGTGTCGAGAAAGGCATCACTTACTGGGCCTGGACAACCTACTCATGCATCTAGTTCCCAGCAAGCGCTACGCTCAAAGGGACCACCACCATCTATTAAGCCCGATATCTCGGCCATCGTACTGGAATTTTCTGGAGGTACCGGTGACAGGTACTTGTTCCCTAAGTACAGCATCATCGAATATGTCAACCCTACTCAGGCCGTTGCATCCTTCCTCATAGTACGTAAGGGAAGCAAGCTGGAGTACGGAGGAGATCCCGCATTGGACTATTATCAGCCTGTGACGATCCGGATATATGCCCAGTCCCCTAAACACCTAGAGAGTTTGGCCAGGGTGGTTGCTCCTCAGGATGAGGTGCGACGCTACATGGATGATATCATGGATAATATGACACGGGCTGAGTACGTTCTTCTCGCAATGCGTCTGCCAAAAGCGGATAAGGAGGAGCAAGCAGAGGAGGGCACTAGTACGCCAAAGGTAGATCCGGCAAATCAGCCTCAACAGTCTAAGGTACTGTGGAACAACAAGGTTCCTTCTACGGCAACTCCGCCGCAGAAACCTATAACAAAACCACTAGGTGAGGACGAGCAGTACCAGAGCTTCATCGCCACTGTAAGCTAGAAAGGCAGGGTAGAGAATGCTCTTGGACGTCTGCGCGGGAATCTCCTAGATTGAGGGACGAGTCTTACTACTTATAAGTCGAGGAAAATGGCGCGAAAGGTATGGATGTGCTTTTATTTTGATGGGTTTAAAGATTCGATATGAGATACCTAGGCTGGGCGGAATAGGCGTATTCGTGTCCCACACAATGCGACAACGCGAAGATTATGTATTAAATCACGGTGCTTATCGCGTTTTCTGCACTGCTTTCATCGATCCGTATAGGACCCGCGTCAATAACTTTTTTTTTTTTGATAGTGTAGTTTGATATGCAGACAAATACTTAGTTTTATACGATGTATAAGTGTCTCTTCACCGCCCACTCAGTTTCTCTCCTAATGCGCACCGCGCCTCGAGTAACTCGTTGAACCATTGCGTTCGCTCGTTAATAGGGGCGTGGCCCAGACCATCCACGATTAAGCCCTCGCCCGGTTGCAACCACTCTATCAGTTTCCTCCCGTGAGGCGTTGATATCATTCCGTCGTCAGTCCCGTGCATAACTAGGATCCGCTCGCGGCCTACCTTGTCCCCTAACTCCTTTAATTGCTCCGGACTCTTGTAATGCCAGCCTGCCGCGATGAGCTGCAGTAGGAAACCCTTCTTGGTGAATCCGCTTGCGTCGCGCTGCTTGGTGATTTCTTGAGCGGCAAAGCGCTCGTAGTTGCTGTTGAACTTACGATACCCGCCGGCTGGGATTTTGCACCGCGGGACAGTCTCGTCGGGGACGATGGCGGTGTCTGGGGCGGTTAGGTAGTTGGCAGGGAATACTGGAGAATGTTAATATGATATGCATAATACTATACCCTGCACAACTCCGGGGGGAGAGCGGAAGGCGGAAGGCGGAAAGCAGATAGATGTATAGGTAGGTATGTAAACATGAGCAGGTAAGAATGATGATAAGGGGCATTGATAATACATACTGGCCCCAGCTGCATACTGTACACTCCGATCCAGACTCTTCGGCAGCAGCATCGTGATTCTGTTCATCATGTTCTCGGTGAACGTAGTCGTGTTCTCAATACACGCAGCCGTGCAAATTAGGCTCAAACTAGCAATGCGCTCCGGCGCTAGATACGCCAATTCCTGCGCAATCATACCGCCCATGCTGATGCCGCAGACATGTAATTCCCGCGGCGACGTCCAGCCGATATGGTCGAGCACTTCGAGCGCGTCGCGCGCCATCGTCGATGTGCTGTACCGCTCCAACGGCTTATCGGAGCGGCCCATGCCTCTGTTGTCGAGGATCAGGACAGAGTACTGTGATCCGTGGATGTGTCCAAAGTGCATGGTTTGCCGCTGGTAGGCGGTTTTGAAGAAACCCAGGCCGCAGAGGAGCTGTGAAGAGGGCTTTGTGAGCTTTCTTCGTTCTCTCCAGGGTAAAGCTTATTCCGGAAGAGGAATTCTTAAAGGAGATGTGATGGCGGGTTACGCACTATGAGTTTTATAGGACCGTCGCCGTGGACTTCCCAACTAATGTTTATAGGCCCTCCTCTCCCGGCAGCTACGGGGAGGAGACCGCTTTGATGCGGCTCGAGCTGCCACATCGCTGTCGGGAAGGCCGGACTCTTGACCACATCCTCGATGGACGGGAAGGTCGCTGTGATATTTGTTTCTGGCCTGGTTTTATTAGTTGAGAACTAAAGTACCTAGGTATTTGGTTTACATATATATAGCATGAGAGCTGAGAGTAAAATACGTACATGGGATTTAGTGAGTATTAACTTATAAAGGAGAATATCAGGTTAGGTTACACTTATTATTCAAGTGACGAGCGTTAGGCCGGTATTGCTAGGTATACGTGTTATACTTATAAAGAGCTTCAGAAAGTTTATGTCTATGGCAAAAGTAATAAGTTCGCCTCTAACGACGCCATGGATTCAACTCTACTGACGCCAGTCTCAGCCTCGGCTGGACTTATTACCTTATTGCGAGTGGATGGATGTCGCTAGTTGTAACTACGTCTTAGTTGCATTTATATGCTTTATATGTTCTTATAACCGCTTTATTATGTTCTCGATGGATTCGATGCTAGTGGCTGGATTGTACAAAGGATCTTGCATGATCTTCATTATGTACATTTGCTAGGGTCTATGTAAACTGGTATCATACTAAATAAAAATGGAGACGAGGTAGTGAATACAGGCAGACAGGCTAGGGAAACTTGATTCATTCTTCATGTCGTATTAATCGACACCTGCCACACCCGGTGCCTGAGTCCCAGCATAATCGTACTGTAGCGATCCTCCGTTAGTTAAATTTGAATATCCCATCTGAGTTGCCTGTGTATCCATCCCCGTCTTCAAAAACCCACTGTTATCTCTACCACTACTAGTAGCAAGGCTATTATGAGTTCCGGTCGTCGTCGTCGTTGACGATTGATTTGGTCGGGTACTAGGTGATTTGCTTTGGCTTTGTTTTGATAGAGACTGGGAGACTTCTGCGGAGGATATGCCTTCGCCGAAATATAGATAATCTGTAGGCTCAGAGCTTACGCTTTGCCTAACGCTTAGCCTGTTTGACGACTGTCCGCTTGAAACTGAAGGTTTTCGTAGTCCTTTATTTGACTTTGGTAGGCGTGGTTCCGACTGTGACGAATCCTTCGATGTAGACTCAGTTTGCTCTAATGATACTGTAGGGGCCTTGACATTCTCGTCCTCCCGTGCTTTTCCTTTCCGACTTTGTGGTTTTATAACGCTCTTTACACGTGAGATGATGCCTGCAACGCCCATCTTGAAAATAAGGTATAATAGGTATATGAGATTTAGGTATTGTTAAACGTAAAAATGACAATTGAGGAAACCCAAGCTAGCGCGCTGTGCTTCTATGACAATACTTTACTGAATCTTCTTGAGGTTTAATATAGGTGTATTTCTTTGACTTGAAAGATGTCGAAGGGGATGATAAACAATCTAGGTTGGAATATGAGGCTGTGAGTTTACGCGTCCGGTTGCAATTTCAACTTCAAACGAGAATGGCTTTTTGGTACTACCTAGCTCAGCTGAAAGGCAGCGAATGCGCCGCAATTATATTATAAGCTTGGTATGAGGTCATAAGGTCATAAAAATACCTTCGTCAATGATTAGAGGCTTTAGAAAGAACGACATCAGGATATGCACATTGAGGTTCAATTCATACCTCATTGAATTAGGTCACAGAACAATACATATCCTGAAACTTACTCTTGGCACTGGAGTGGATAAACTTGTTTTTCTTAAAGAGGGTGACTATCATGTATAGGTAAATACGAGAATTGCGTAATTACGAGAAGTCGGAAATCAAGTGTGTAAGGTTATCAAACACCAACTATTAATACACTAGTACACTAGACTCTAGTGCGCGATATGGAGACACTACTGGGTTATAGCTTATGCGGCAGTAGTCAGGTACGGTTGTTCATAGGGTAGAATTCAGGAACAACTTGAATAAAAGAGCAAACCCGCATCAGACCTATTGTCTGGTATTCATTAATAATAAAGGGTATCTACAATAGACTGAAAAAAAGAACACCCTATGGGTATGTCCTCCTCATGACCAAAAACCGTAAAAGCTTTTCATAGAAACCTCAAAACTCCGCATAGCTACCTCCTACTTATCAAGGCGTAACTTCATGACCCCGAAACCTATTATCCTAACTGGTCACTCAGAGAGTTGGAAGAAAATTCTTCGAATCCTCTTCTTGTTGTGCAAATGATTGCGGGAATGCGGCAATCCCGGCAATAATCCCGGCAGCCATAAAACAAACTGATATAATGGACCAGATAACGCCCCAGCACTGAGAAGAGCCACCGTAGCGCTCGGCAAACACACTGGCATCAGAACTATTGACTTTGCGGAGGATGAGGTCGTCGCACTAGAAATCAATTAGTATTAATAATATGTACGAAACATTACTTAAAACTCACAATATCCCAAACGCTGTACAGTGAGCTCATCACACCGATGAAGAGTACAAGGAATCGCAACGGTTCGGCATGAGCAATGAACCAGAATGCGACCAAGAGTCCGACGGCAAGTAGAATAGTCACGATCGTAAGCCAATCTCGTTTACCCCACCAGAGTGTCAGTAAGAAGCATACACCTAAAACCATGCTGGCGATCTTGCTTGCGACGATGTCGAAGCCGCAGAAGATAAGAAGGGCGCCGATGAGGGAGGATCCTAGGTAGCCAGCAGGCAATGTGATGGCACTTTTTCCTCCAACCACTAACGATATGAGTAAGCATCTTTAATAAGAATAAGAGGAGGGAAATAATATATGGATACATACTATGGGTGACACCTCCTTCACGAGGGTCAAGAGAGATGGATTTGACACGTCCACCAGTGCAGCACTTTAAACCGAGTTAGTATTTACATCTTGAAGTAACAAGTGCCTGGGCTATAGGCATGCTAGGTGATGTTGACTCCCTCGTCAACTCGACAGAGAAAAATCTAGGATGCGTGGAAAGGCTAAGTGCTGGTAATGTTTACTTACGGCAGTTATAGCGTGTCCGAACTCATGAAATGCGATAACAAGCATCTAGGAAATGTAGTTAGCAACGAAAGCCCAATATCTAGCAAAATACGTAGGTAATAGTTAATATATACCTTAAAAGGCCATAATGACCATCGTACATAAGGAACGTTCCATAGAATGGCAATAACGACGACATAGACGGCGATGATACCCAAGGTAACTTTTTGGGCATCGCTAGTGACAGTTAAGTCGCGGCGCGATATGGCATCCCGCCGGGCCAATCTAGCGACCTCGGGTCCGGCTGCTACTACGGCAGCTCTCGCACTGCGGAGTAGGTGCTCGGAAATGAAGAGTCCGGGCTTCTCGTGTACCGGAGCCATGTTGTATGTTGTAGTATGTAGGTGGGAGTTGTTAACGAGTGTAAGGTAGCGTAGGAATGAGTGTCTGTTTAGGTACTTAGGGAATTTACAAAAGGTACGAAGACATTGCAGGTTAAAGCGAAACGTTGCAGTTTCTTCAGAAATGGCAGTTTATCTGTAAAAATGCAAAAACTCAAGAATTGGCTGGCTGACGTGGACAGGTGGGCTGATACAATACAAGCATGTGTTTTGGGGCTGTCCTATTAGTGACTTTCCAGGCTTTCCAGGCTTTCCAGTGTATGCCGAGACAAAGCATAACGCAAGCTGTTTTGCTGCGCCCCCATGCTGTGGCGGTGGTTGGTGGGTACCTCTAACGATGTATCTCATTATCGTGACTGACAGCCGCGGGGGTGGGGTGGCCTAATTTTAGATGCCGAAGCCGCTAACCTGGGTGCCCTCCTGCCGTTAACTGCCATATCTTAAGAAAACTGAAAACCTCAGAATACGTACCTTTTTCTAGAAATTAAAGATGGCTGTCAGCTACCTAATGTATATGATAAAGAAAGAAAACAGTTATATTAGATTACTAATTAAAACTTTTTACGTTATAAAGCGAACATATACTTAACAACATCTTATCTCACTAAGTGATGTAGTGCGCAATGGTCTATAGGTAGGTTCTAATACGATGATTCATAGTGTTGTATCGACATGATTTATACGGGTACTGCGAATGTAGAATGATAGTTCGAAGGCAAAGATACCTACCTCTATATAATATTAGATATAACTATGGTATTAGTGCGTCAAATTCTACAATTCCTGGGCCTATTCCTATCGATAAAGCAATATGAAAACCATGTCGAAGAGAACAATCTATTGATATAGGTATCAGTTCAGCTCCTGCAACCTCAACATCCCGAAAATGATTTCGGGGTCTCCGAGAGCAGTAACAATTGACTATAGGAAAAAATATACAGTTCCGAAGTAACATACCCGTAAAACTAATATAGCTCCTTATTCTGCCCGATTCCGACCTTGTTGGAAGGGCCGACTCTTGCAACGTTGTAAAAGACATCTCTGACATTTCGGTGATCAATAACTAGGGGAAGGCTTAGCCCACTATATATGCCAAATGGTAAGCCACCAAGTATATTCTATACTGAGACATTTAATTGGTTCTAATTGGACCGACAGTTTGTCGTGTTGAAGGATGAAGTTCACTACTCTTTAGGGATAAGGCTAACGCCCTATAGCTACACTTTAGGTAGCGTTTTGCAGTTTAGGTGATGATCTACCATTGCTCATTGCGAGCCTGAGCGAATCGGAGGATGAGTTTAAGCCTCGAGTGGAATACGAGGCATGCCATGGCCGCCATGTTACAGTATTCTTGAGCATGTCTCAGAACACTACGATGCTGGGTAAATTGAGAAAGGCATCAGAAGCCTCTAAACTGATATCATTGGGACCAATAGAAAACGATTCGCAGTGCGGGTAAGAAAGTTAGGGAGGTAGGGAGGGTACCATTCTCCATCGTAGGAAAGGGGGGATCATTATTTCTCCACTGAAATAATTATCATAGACCGCCGTCTATATGCATTTGAGGCTACACCTACCATTTGGTGCGATTCTAGACCCGACGGGAAGTATCGATCGTCGGGAGAAAGTGAAGAGCCGTTGATTCACTCGCCCCCTTCCCCTTTGGCTGGGACCATTCAGAGGCAGGTAGGATTTGATGATGACAGGTACCATCAGGCATATCAGGCATATATATAAACCTAGAAGGTCGCATCAAGAAATACCAAAGTTAGCTTTCATCCTCATTACAGCTTCAGCCCTCTCGCTTAAATCAGACTCTCGCTAGACGTTCGTTAGAATTAATCAACCATCGTTTTCAAAATGAAGCTATTTTCGGGTGCATCGCTTATCGGCCTTCTCGCCACTACTGGCCTTGCCAGCGCGAAGGGAACCCAAGCGCCATTTTCCATCTCCAAGTTCTCTGCAGGAGCTACTCCGCATTCGTCGGTCGGATAGTAAGTCGACACAACATTTGATAAGAGTTGACATGTTACTAACATTTTAACAGCGTCGAACTTACTTGGTCGTACTCTAGTGGCCAGAACTCGACGACATGCTCAGCAAAGCCGGGAACCTACCAAGTCTTCCCTTCCGTCGTGAAGACTGCGTGCAGCGACCCGTTGACATTCTTTAACTTGACTAAGCGCTCAGACGGCGGAGCTGACCTTGAGCTTTGGTATCAGGAGGCGTATGCCATCCACACCATCTCGGCGGAACAAATCGTATGGACGAACCAGCAGTCGCCGACCGGAACCGTGCAAGTCTACTCAGGCCCCCAGAACTTCACCGTAAAGGCAAATTACCCAGAGAACTAGGTGCTAAAGGTACTGAAGGTACTGAAGGTGTTGTGCGATGCGTTGGCCATTGTTGTAGGGTTAGCTTGTATATGGTAATATTCGAATCGCAAGACTGATATAATATGGTTGTTTTGTAGCCGTGGGACTGCGATGAGGTATATTAGAGAAGGATTGCGACTAGAGGGACATGTGCCTCTCTTTTAAGAGTACAGCCATGCTTCCACCTTGTTTAGAGTAGATAGCAATGTGATTTCTGAGATCATCATTAAACGCTTCCACTATATTAAAATGTTGTACCTGTGCCTGCTGTGGTGATGTTTTCGTACGGATGCAGGAGTGATGTAATTAATTACCAGTGGGTAACAGGTACCTAGCGTGACGCCACCAGGAACCACCCAGCTGCATTACGTACCTAAATGTATAAGTACAAGGTACCCAAGATCTGGTAGGTGCCCAGCCAGGGTAGGTCGCTTGTGGGGTTTAGCTTAAGTGATCTCAGCTAAATTTCATATTGCCATATTGCCAATTGCCATTTCTATTCAACACCTTGAAGAAGTCATGTCCTAGCTAGCGTAGAAAGGGTTGCGTTTTATATGGCAACAACGACTTTTACAATGCACAAAGTTCATTTATCACTTCTTTCTTAATCCTTCGCCCGATTACATTCTGCTTGTCTCATCTGTATTCGCCATGAGCGCCAACCATTTACCATGGCATCTTTATCCTCTTCAACAATGGCTTCGGCCTTGACGCGCCCACGAGTTACCATCGCTGTGATTTCTGCTATTGCTGCGGCCTCTTTAGGCTTTTACTACTATCGTCAGAGTCGGATTCGCGCTTCAGAGTCAGATATTACTGCTACGGGGCCTGGTTTGCATCGCCGTAACGCCGTGAGACGACCTCGCCGTGCATCCCACCGCCATGACGACTCCTCAGAATCCGATTCTCATGGCGACGAAAATGACGATGTTGATAATATCGACCTCCCCTTTCCAGTCCCGCCAGGTACTACCACCACCACCACCACCGATGAGCAGAACCCGACCGAATGGTATAACGACAGCAACCAGGCCCCGCGTCAGCGGACTGGTGAGAATATAGTTACGCTTCTATTCCGTGTGTCCGAAGACAACGCTAGGCGCAACGCTTATGTGCACCGCGGTTGTCAGTGCAATGGTTGCGGCATGGTTCCCATACGCGGAATTCGATATCGCTGTGCCAACTGCGCTGACTTTGACTTATGCGAGGTATGCGAATCTCAGGGTCTACACAACAAGACGCACGTCTTCTATAAAGTCAAAATACCTGCTCCGCCCTTCGGAACTCGACATGTACAACCGGCCTGGTATCCAGGCGATCCCGACAATGCTATACGTAGTATACCACGGTATCTGTTGACCAGGTGGTCTCAAGATACTGGCTTCGAACGTGTTGAACTTGATGCTTTCTGGGAACAGTGGACTTTCATGGCCAATACCGAATGGAGAGATGATCCTAATGGGCTCGGTTTGGCTATGGATCGCAAGACTTTTGAACGGTGTCTTGTCCCATCTGGTGGTTATCGGCACGCTGCACCTAACCTTATCCACGACCGTATGTTTGCATTCTACGACACTAACCACGACGACCTCATTGGATTCGAAGAGTTCCTCCATGGCGTATCGTACAGAAAGAGGAAGGACAAACTTAAACGAACATTTGATGGCTACGATATTGACGGCGACGGCTATGTTAGCCGACGAGATTTTCTACGTATGTTCCGGGCTTATTATGTGCTATACAAGCAGATGCACAAGGACATTCTTGACGGCCTTGATGACCACATGATGACCACCACCGAAGCCCAGCAGCTTATCAACGGTAGACAACCCTTAAGTAGTCTCTTTGGTCGGGAGGGTAGGGTCCCTTCGGCTGATCATTCGAGACCGATGGAGGGTAAAGTATTCCGTTCAAACGGAGATGTTGAAATCAACGATGGCAAAGGAGTCATCAACGAGGATAAGCTAGATACAGGTGGCCGCGAAGAAATCCTGAGCAGTTTATTTGCTAGAAACGCTAGCCAGAGCCTCTTCACGGAATCATTCGGATCCTCCAGGAGACCACAATCCCCCGACGGAGATACTCGTTATTGGACCGGGATAATCAACCCTCCTCATACTACGGTCGATCTGGCATCTTTGCTCTCAGGTGAATACCCGCATATTACTGATATTCTGGAGTCCATCCATCAGGAAAGACAGCATTCTCTAGATGAGATCGAGAGCGCTTCGTCTGATGGGGATAAACAAAGCGAACCCGAAGATGAAGGCGTCGATGAAACCGACGAGGGTGAACCTGCTGACCCCAACCCACCAAGCGAAGCTCCAGAGCAAACCGCTACCCGGGCTATTCCAGATGCTAGTAGATTTACAAATACATTACCCACAGAGAGCCAGCTTAGAGTTCAACATCAAGCAATTGTAGCGAATAGTCACCGATCAGGTATTGACAAGCGGAAGAGGTTGCTCGCTCGAAAGAAGCTTCTTGAGAGGTGGAAACGACGTCAATTTTATCTAGATGAGGAAGAAGGTGCTGCGCCCCCACAGGGATGGGATGAAAATCAGGATGTGCTATTGAACTTGAATGGTATCGCCGAGTCATCTAAGTCAGCACCCCATTTTCTCTCTCCTCGGTCAAGATCATCCTCCAAGGTTCGCTTCGCTGAAGATGCGGATGATTTTGAAACCAGGTCCAACCCGTCTACTTCCTCGCGAAGTGTACCGGAGAGATGGGGAGGAATGGAAATCCCGGACGCGGAGCGAGATGCTGGTAAAGAAATCCTCTATCAAGTCACGCAACAAGCTTTCAACGAGCTCTTAGACGAGATTTTCAAGAAGAAAGAGGATCTCGCTGTCCAGGCGGCGGAAACTAAAGAACAACGTGAGAAATATCGAGAGCTCTTAAGCTCGATCGACCTTGAATGCGAAGACGAGGAATCCAGAGATCAGTCACCGGCAGGACCTCGAGTACACTCCCCGGAAGGGAGTCCTCCGATCTCGCAGCGGAGCTTAGCTGAGTTACTTTCAACTAGTGGCTATAGTACTAGCCACTCCAATGTGAACGATGGATCTCGTGCAGCTGCGACGATACAGAATGAGGACAGCAATGAGAATGTCATCAATGAAGAGATAGATGTCCTATCAAAGGACCTCAGCTCCCCAGAGCCCGCGGAATACCGTGACCCTACTCTACCCCAGAACCGACCCAATAGCATAGCGCAAGTATCACCTAACCATCCCACATCTCAGACGGAAAGCAACACTAAGTTTAAGAAACTGAGCAACGGCTCCGATACGTCTAAAAATGAGGAGGCTACTGAATCGAAGAGCATTGATCTCGACGCCCCGGATCACATATCGCATTCCACACTGATGTCATGGAAGCGTCTTGACCTTGCTGAACAGGAGGCAAGGGAAAGGGGTGGCTGGGGTAGACTAAACTACAAGGAGTTTGAGGAGATATATCGAGAGCACGAATTCGCAGACAGCAGCCGTAACCGGCTGGATTACCTAGGTAGCTGGATCGACTTCTGTATTCCTTAAAGTGGATAGAGAAACGTATCTAGCAAGAGACATGAGTGATGGCTGTACGAATAAGTTGACGAGACGTCTGATGATCACCCCTAGGTCTGACCTATATTTGGCCAGCGGTTAAGGATGGAGGTGTACATTATTTGTTATCCTACTTGATGCATAATCCATAACGGCATCCTCAAAAAGTTCATCCATAAGCAAATGTGGAATAAAAATACTGATTTCTTGGAGCGCTCGGCACTGGTTGTCATTTCTATCACATCTTTAACAACACTTCGTGAATCTCTTGAGTGAAAATGCTAATCATCAATCAATATAGACATAATTAATACCAATGGGGAATGGGGCCACAATGCAGAGATTGATTAGCGAAAAGAAGTCAACTACTTTCTCATATTTCCAAGTATATTTGTTGCCTTACAATCCAATTTTGCAACACTAAAATTAATAATGTGCAAAGTTGATTGATTACCCCTATCTATTATTGGCCTCCTATTTTGAGGAACTCGGTTATGTCTTGGGTAACTCAATCTAGAACTGCAAACATACGTAGACATTAGACACTTTTTATATATAAAGCACACCTAACTCCTCACTTGGTGCCGGATAGAGTAGATCACATACGATATACCCCACGATTTCTTAATTGCCGAGAGATTTACGTGCATGCAATCTATCGGGTGGCCATGTGTATAGCCATTGGCAACCGTTAGAGCCTCAGGGGGGAGGGTTATGTAGCGTCAATGATTACTACCGTAATATAAATATTTATTACCAACTTTGATTTTTGTCGAGGATAACTGATTGGTTCAATTTATATGACTTCAAAGTTGTGGCGACAGGGTTGGGGAGTTTAGGATAGGTATGGCATAATAGGCTGTTTTGGTCTTACCTGAAGGGCGAGCGCTCTCCGCGAAGCAAGGTATGAAAAAAAAACGGCTTAATGGGAGTATATAATAGCAGGCACTTCCAATTCACAAGATACGCGTCGAAGTCATATTGAGTCGTTGTCATTAGTAACGGATCAGATAGTCATTTGTACCAATTAGTTATTTTATAAAATAAGTACTTGGAGTATGGCTACCTCCATCTTGCTAGGGTGGCTCTTATTCTCTGCATCAGCTTCAGCCGAATGCACGAGAGACTTCCTCATAGGAGCCACTGACAAGTATGTTGCAGCTCAAGCAGCCGGGTCTAGCGACGATGTGGCTGCGCTAGCAGCACCTAATGTCACTTACACCGAGAATGAAGTTCCTAAAGCCATCAACGAAGGTGTTTTGACCGAGGCTATCAAGATCGACCATAACCGCAGCATCCACGACACCGTCAACTGCGCGACCTTCACCGAGATCATCGCCGCGAGTAATCCCCATCAATACGTCATTGGCACGCGCATACTCTTCAACAATGACAGCAGGATCTCGTTGATCGAGTCGATAGTGACGGATACTGGCGACTGGGCTTTTAACGCTACCGGATATTTGTATTGGAACTCACAGGAGAACTGGGATCCTATCCCCGAGGACAAGCGAGACAGCCGCGAGGTCGTCCAAGCGGCCGGTGATGCCTATTTCAATAGGTTCAAGAACGAGAACGTAACCGTACCTTTTGGCATTCCCTGCTCCAGACTGGAAGGAGGCGCATCTACGGCACCCCTTAACATGACTGGCGACTCATGCACGCTCGCAGGTCTGCCATCAACTCTCGTAGTCACCAACCGCCGCTACGTCGTGGATGAGGTTATGGGTGTTGTTGACATCTACCTCGGATTCCCTGGGCTGGACAGAACGCAAGGAGAGAAGCCGATGCCGGACAGCCATATGTTTAGAGTCGAATCTGGCAAGATTAGATACATCCATACTGTTTCATCGTGCGTGGAGGCAGGATGTGGATTCAATAGCACGATCCCGCCTACTTCGAAGATCAGGAAGTTACGCACTTTTGAGAGGCCCAGACTATCTAGGCGAGGATACTGATACGGAGGTAAATGAAGAGTCGTAATTATGCAGGGTTTGCGTCAAAAGGGGCTGTGGCAATGAAATTGTAGTTAGGTATGAAGAGATCTAGTGTAATTCCATAATGATGTACTAGGACTCGAGAAAAGTATTGATTAATATCAAATCAGTTACGGAGGACTATAAAATTCTTATCTTCTAAACACTACATAACTATACCTATTAATTTACGTTTTTACATTTTTACATTGCACATTGCACATTGCACATTGCAACTAGCACAACACTGGCAAATACCTATTTAGTATAAGCATGATAAATATATACCTTGGGTAGCTAAGTACTATAAACAACGTGCTAATATATCAATTTATACTACCCTCTATCGGTACCAAAGTCCAGAGCTATAAGCTCTCAAAGATCTCAAAGATGCTGCCTCCATTTCCTCTCGCACCACTCCCAAAATTCCGTCGCTTTACCATCCGATACCGCCTGCAACACATCGCCCCGTCCGACAGGTCGAATCTTACCCCAAGGCCAGATATACGTGCCATTGGTACCTTCATTTACATCCGGCGAGAACCCGGCGTAGAGCATCGTGTACGCACCATACTTTGACGGGTACAAGATAAAAATCCTGAGAAACGTGATATACCACCAGCTGGCGTTCACCCAAATAGGCGTGTACAGATTCCCGGGATTCTCGCACACGCTGATAATCCCGTACTTGCCCCAGCGCTTGGCCCCCTCCACCGCCAAGAAATAGTTCCCGACTTTGGACGCGGCGTAGTCCAGCTCTTGGTTGGTGGTCGGCTTTTCGATCCGGACGAAGTCGACGCCGCCGGGTGGCGAGTTTATGTCGATTAGGATGGAGCCGGTCCAGACGACGCGGACGCTGTCCTTGGGCGCGGATTTCGCGGCCGCCTGGAGCAGCGGGAGAAGCTCCTGGGTAAAGAGCAGTGGGGAAACACAGTAGGCGCCGGCGTGGGCTTCAAAGCCCTGCTTTGTCACGCTTCCGGGCCCATAGCCGGAGCCGGCGTTGTGCCAGAGGATGTCAAGACGTGACTCTTGAGCCGCAAAGGACGCGGCGGAGGATTTGATGGTGGTGAGATCTGATAGGTCCAAGTGGAGCGGTTTGAGCGTGGCAGGGGTTGCTGGCGCGGGGGAGACGGAAGACACTTGCGCAATGGCATTGTGAATCTTGTCAACTGAGCGGCTGGCAAGATAAATTGTAGCGCCGGTGGGATAGAGGAATTTCACCAGATCCAGGCCGATACCTGTATAGCAGTTAGCACACCCAGTCTTGAGAATCAACTATCTTTTCATTTTTATAATATACCAGAGTTGGCACCGGTGATGATAAACACCTTGCCTACGTGACTCCCGGCCACGACATCCTTCTCAGTGAAGGTTGGCGCGGGAGGGTAGATTTGCTGCAATAAGGTCGATAGTGAGCTCGACATGATGAATGTTGAATGATGGATGTTTCTTCAACTCTGCTAATTCCTTTACCTGGTTTATTATATGTGGTCTCATGTATTATGCAAGCTTACTGATCACCCCTGTCATGATGCTTGCTCACTTGGCTATGATCTTCACGAAGCACGATATTTATTCTTCAAAGCACCTAACGCTTCCTAAACACTTTTAGGTATTTACCTTTAGGTAGGGCGAGCACTTACTATAGTATCGTTTGAAATGTGACTTTTGTAAAATTATTAAAACCTTTATTAATAAATACCTTTGCGTATAGCTGCTCTAAAGACACTCTGAAGGTTTGGCCAACCAAGTAGTTCTAAGCTGCTTCCAAATAGTGTTAATATGGGGATAGGGTTTAGACTTACATCCTCATAAGCTACCATATTACTAATACAACTCTCATATAAGATTTATTAATAACTTAAGCTAGCTACACAAACTATAAGATTTGTCAACAAACCACTATACTACTAAAAGGTATTCTAGTAACTAATAGATTTTATTCTATTACATTTTCACATGTCAAACAGACATTCATGTCTGACAAGATTCTTCAACGCCGAAGTTATAGCCGCAATGACGTAATAAGAAGCCCGATTGATATAATCTATATTCACTTTTTGATAGAAGCGTCTTGAACTCCAATCTCCATCCCCGCTTGTGAGTTTGTAAGTTAGTGTCACTATCGAAAAATCCAGAACCGAATGGACCGATAGCATATGCTCAAAATTATCCGGATCAGCCGGCCTTTATAACATATTTATTACGCTAAGAACCCCGCCGTTCAGGTATGGATAGTGGATATTGGATATTTATTCCACCAACAGTCCCGGTCATTGGAACGGCAACGACAACGTTATCATATCTGTTTCATATACAAATTAAACACAAGAATAATAATATACACAATGAAGGAAGCCCTCATAGCACCAGGTAAGAATCGGATAGCCATGAGCCATGACCCCCAAGCAAAGCTAAACATCATATAGGCCCTAAGGTCCAGATTATCGACTCTCCTATCCCAAAGCCCGGAGCCGACGAAGTCCTTATCAAGGTCGTCGTGAGCGGGTCCAATCCTAAGGATTGGAAGGTACCGGGTTGGCGTAATGTCACCATAAACCAGGGCGACGATATTGGTGGTATCGTTCAAGAAGTTGGTTCTAATGTAACCGAGTTCAAACCTGGCGACCGTGTCGCTGGATTCCACCAATTCTTAACCCCTCACGGATCTTTTGCTGAATATGCGATCTCACCCCAACACACTACTTTCCATATTTCGCAGAAGACCACATTCGAAGGTATGGATCAGCCGTGAGCGTGAGGATTCCATACATGTAATATACTAACGGACTTTACTTACTAGAGGCTGCTGCAGTCCCGTTAGCGGCAATGACAGCAGCAATTGGGCTCTATGCCAAGCTTGGTCTTCCGCAGCCGTGGACACCGGCAACCGAGCCCACCCCCCTTTTAATCTATGGGGCGGCTTCCGCTGTTGGTGCTTATGCCGTTCAGCTCGCTCGGAAGAGTAACATTTACCCTCTCATCTGCGTTGCTGGAAAGTCTCAGGCCTATGTGGAGACTTTGATCGACCGTAGCAAAGGGGACGTCATCATCGACTACCGTGACGGAGACGATGCCGTCGTCGAAGCACTAAAGAAAGCAGTCGGTGATTCCAAGCTCCTATACGCATTTGATGCGACAGCGGAGTACAATAGCTACGTCAATATAAGTAAGGTCGTGGCCGAGGGCTCCAAGGTAACGAGTGTACTACCTCCGCAGAACTTCGAATACCCAGCCCATGTGTCGCATTCGGGTACCCTTGTGGGCTCGGTGCATACCGAAGATAAGGACTTCGGTTACGTGTACTCCCGATACTTCGGGAGAGGGCTGGATGAGGGCTGGTTCAAGGCACAGCCGCAGGTCGTCGTGCCGGGCGGACTCGGGGGAATTCAAGAGGCATTGGATAATCTGAAGGCCGGCAAAGCAAATGCTATTAAATACGTCTTCCGGATTGCTGAAACGGAAGGAGTTCAGTAAATGGGTTCTGTCTTGGTCTTATTGCTAATGCCACTAAGGGAATGGTTGGGGTTTCGGAATTATAACCTCTTTCGTTGAAATGTACGGACGGAAGACTAAGGGTTAAGAATATAATATATATACCTAGCTATATGAGTTATATGACAGTTATGGGATATTTATATTTAATAATATGACAAGAAGGATGTTAAACAAAATGATCTATGGGACCCTCTGTACAGTTTATCCAAAAATGCGCAAACTCGATCCTACTACAAAGCAGCACTTCCAATAAAGAATGTATAATGCGAATATCTACATCAACATGAGTTGATTTTAGTTGCTCCTGTAGGCGGCAACATACTTGACCTGCAGGCCACTGCCAAGACCAGTGGTGGTGTTGCCATCGGGCTGGCCACCCCCTATATCGGTATTAGCACCCTATGAAACCATAAAGAGTCGTCGGTAGATTATTCGTAACTACTTACCTGGAAAGTTGCTACCAACAGCAACGTTAAGGATAGGGAAGAAGCTCTTGTGAGCGACTCGTCCCCACAGTTCACCGTCCCCTACATCGCTCCCCTTGATCTGGAAGAACTTGTTTCCGTCGAGATACCATTCCAGGGTCTCGTCTTGCCAGTTGCTCGGCCCGCGGTTGACCTTGATGGCCCACGTGTGGAACGACTCGACTTGGAAGTGCTCCTGACCGCTGCCCTTGCTTAGGTGGTCTGTACCTCCCCGTCCGTAGTGGAGAGTGGCGAGGGACCAGTCGTTGCCGTGGGCGTTTTCGAAGACTGGGAGAAGAGTTAGTTAAGCATAATATCTCCTAGTTATAACATTTATGAAACTTTTCATGCCACTGTCTGGTGAAAGAAACCATGCACTTACTATCCCATTCACCGCACTGCGGCCATTGAACACCCTTCCCGTTGCGAATATCATTTCCAAGAGCCCAAAACGCCGGCCAGATTCCCGACTGCTGGTTCGCTGGGAACGTTCCGCTGCGAAGCTCGGCCTGCAGCAGAAGTCGATGACCATCAGGGCAGTTGAAAGCCTGCTGGCCTTCGAGACGGGCAGAAGTCCACTGCCCGTTGTCGTGACGAGGGGTGATGTGCAGGGCGCCCGAGCCGCTAAGGGAGGAGTTTCCAGTGCTCTTGGTGTAGGTCTGCACCTCTTGGTTGCCCTGGTTAGGACCGGCTGTGACGATGTTCCATTTTCCTTGGTTGGGGAGAGATCCCGCTGCGCCCGAGAAGTCGTCGGACCAGATTAGGCTGTAGCCGGATTCAGCTGGGGGAGGAGACATGATTGGAGTTTTAAGTATATATGTGAGCTAGGTGGGTTTAAAAAGCTATTGATGGCTTATTCAAAGCGAGGTGATTTGTGGTGAGTTTCATGGAGGATGCTGGCACCTCAGCTCGTCTTTATAGTCCGCGTGAAGCCATCATGGCCCAGAGGCTTCAGACTACTCCATAGGCGGCCTCTGATGTCAGGCGAAAGTAGCATCATGAGAGATCATGCGCTATCATGGAGACAGGCATGAAAGCTGTGATGACTGGCTTATGGTTAGTAATGACTAGTGGTATTACTTAGTATTGCCATAACCTAACAGGATGCTATCCCATTGAACAGCTCGCTTCGCTGCCGCCCTCAGTAACGCCGTGCATGGATCAATACTCTCTGTTCTAGAATGAAGCTTTGTAGATGTTTATTTCCAGCCTCATGGTAACTCTGCCGTACTATAGTCTGACTGTTTATTGATGAGATCAGCATGGTGGATAGCCAATAGTAGCACTTGTACGGTGAGCTTGCCTTTCCGTACTTAGGTAAAATTGTCTTACATAGGACGACTAAATAAGAAGGAACTTTTATAACATGTTATGGGAAGAGGTCGTCATGTGGGCATAACCCAGGGGTAGTATTTAAATGTGTCATTCAGCTGTCAGCCCTAAGAGGTGAGGTTATCCGCGTAACAGTCAAGAAAATACACTTTTGAACAGCTTACACAATTTGGCTCTGAAATGTCGTTACTAGCTTCCAATATATCGTGGAGTACGGCCAATAAATTTAAGAAGTAACTACTGATTCCCAACTCGGCTGAGATGCTTATATGAGAGTCAGCGTCAAATCATGTGAGGGAAAATATCAATGGAGTTAAGCGATTTATTGCATCCAATGCCACTCTGAGTAATGCTACCTGGGCCTTAGTAATGTGATCTAAATATGGTTGAAGGGCTGTGGCGACGACTTGATGCTCTGGTAATGTATTAGAGCAGAGCGGGCATTGAGACGAGGTGAGATGTTCTAACAAAGTCTAGATCTCAATAGCTCTCGCCTATTTAAAAGGTTACATTTTAATATTCAAGTCTCCAGACTGGGAACTTAGTAATATTAAGTTAGGTGATTGTATAATGACACAAAGCGGCTTGCATCTGATATAATTATATCCACAGAGATATGTTAATTAACCATAGTATATAATTATCTTATATTCCATGAACTTGTGATATTTGATAGTAACTACACCACACACAGTAAAACTTTTATGTAATGCCAAGCTCCCGCCACCATGTTCATTGAGCCTCTCAACAGCAACTGGTTCGTGTCAGACTCGAAGCGACTTCGAAGTTTACCATGGGTAATACCTGAAGAACTTGTGAGGTAACTTAATCCTTATTATATCTTATTAGTAGAAAGGAAGAGTTGGGGTTTAATGACGGAAAGCTACTATGTTGTAATATTAGTATAACACACTCTACCTTTTTGTCGATATATTAGCATTCCTATAGTTGGGGTAGAGTTTATGTCGAGTTAGTATTGGCTAATGTGACTATCTTGGTTTATAGTTACTTCACATCAACCTCTATCCCATTTACTGCGCAAGAAATACCATTCCTGATACATATAGCCGGTTTTTACTGTTAGAATAGACACGACATATCACCCAGTATGTCTAGAATTGTCTCTTACCTCCGGCGTCAGAAGTTCGTCTGAGCTATCATACGTATGTGCTACTAACAACCCTCGACTACGACCGATGACACGAAAAGAGTCTTCTTTCTTATATACTTGAGAGGCGTACGCGTCCTGTGTTGCAGTGCGATAAGATCGATGGTGCTGGTCATGTCATTTATCTGAGTTGCTACGTCATGTCGAAAGATGAAAAGTGAAACTGAAACCACAAAGTGTGATAGAGGTCGTCTACTTATTGTCGACCGGGATTGGTGAAACGCAATAGCTACAGCATCGCAAAAACCCAGCTAGTCATCTCTTCCATTGGTGCACTGGTAACGATTTGATGGGATGATTTAGTTAATAGGACTTCGGGTTATTATCTCTTAATCTTGAAAGTGCGGGATATCGGATTCTATCCGCTCATGTTACTAGGAACTATACCAGCTCCCATCCGTATAGTACCCCATGTTTGCGCTTTTCTTAGTATCATACGCCATGATCTAAGGGTACTATGTTTTCAGCCGACCCCGGAAAAAGAAAGTATTGTGATATTTTGAGATCAGTATAGTTAGGAACGAAAGCGAGTCGAGATGAGTGCTTAAAAAAAGCTCATAGGATCTCAATGCCCAAGTTTTCATGATATTGGGGTTGTAGGGACACTATATTCTTGAGCTATTTAAAGGAGGTTATCGTATTTTCGCTCCAATCCCCTATGTCTCTTCCTTCCCCATGTTCATGGGGTAGGGAGGAAGAATCCAGGGGTTCGTCATAGTAAGCAGCATTTTGCGTGCGATCTTGTGAGCTTATTCGGACTATGAATGAAGACTTGGGTTATGCCTTACAGAGCGCCAGCGACTATCAATACAAATCACCGAGTTTACGCTCTTATCTGATTCCTCTTGTTCACTTGTGTAATGTTACGACATTTTCAGACATCAAAATGTCGATTTTGAAGTCGCATGCTACAATTCTTCATTGACAAAGGAAGAGTGTTGTGCCTAAATAGAAAGCTTGGCCTTCTGCGCCGCTGAATGGGGGAGGCTTCGCACGATATCTCGCAATCGCATCCTATTTACATATCTACTCCTCTGAAAAGGTCGCCGAAAATCGGTCCTGCTCTTTTTATGAATCCGTAAACCAGAAAACGTTCCGTGACGGGAAGTAGAGCTATAGCTAAAACTTCTGGGCATGGTCTCATTAAGTAGACAACGGTGGCGGTGAAAATCCCACGATCCCGTGCCTACTATGACGTTTTGCTCCCTGGTCTTTTAATATTTCGGCTCAAAATATACACTAGGCGGTCTGATGTTTTGATTCAGTCCTGGTCGTTGTTCATGACTATGCTGATGCGGTGATGACAAACTGACGTCGAGCATAATGGTTTCGTACAATGTTTGAGTGTGATGAAATTAATAGGTTAGTCTAGCAACGCATTCGCATTGCGAAAATATTCTTTTTCAATTTATGACATATTTAGGGGATGATTGTTGAATTAGAGCGCCTACTGAGTCTCGATTGTTCCTTGGCATTGATGAAGCGCGCTGGGGTTTTGTGTAGCGGCCCCTGAACTAGACCCTTTCCAGGCCCTTCTTAACCCCTTCTCGACCTGGAGTTAAAGTAGCTCATAGTAGATCATAGTAGATTCGAGCCGCATTAGGTACGATTAAATTTTACACGCGTCTAGGCCGTAATGAGTGCGATAATATATCTTAAAACTAAGCCTAGGTAGCTAATTACTACATATCCCCATTGTATACCGCCTACGAACTTTGCTAGAACATCTTTAGGGGGTATCGCGCCGGGCGAAGGGTACCCTTACCCCAGCTCCCCGTTTGTATCCTTGCCTCATATCTGCAGGGTAGGGGTGGCACTCAGTCCTCATTCTCATCTATTATTGGTGCGCCGACAGCTTGAAACGGACACTACAGAACAACCACACCACCACCGTCTGATATCAACAGGCCCCTTGAGCATAAAATATACCAAGGGGTTTCCTCGAAGCTCATATTTCCTCCAGTAGATACGTAGGACAATGCTTTAATTACCGCGAATATCCACATTAGAAACGTCTTGGCCCGAGATCTGGCACAAGGGTCGAAACATGGAAGAATTGGTACTAGCCGGCAGATCGTAAGCGATCAGTGCTTTTGGGTGCATCTGGAGTATGAGCGCCTCATGTTTATAAGTGACAATCCTCGTGCAAGATCAATTCAGCCACTGTCGGCTCGAGCCGAATTGCCCATCTTAAATGTTCCTTTAGGCGGATTGTCATATATCGCCAATACTTGCTTAGAAGTTATACTAACAATGTGCCAACTTATCTACTATGTACTTACACCGTAGTTTCATAATTCATATGTTATATGAATATTATTTGCGCGGCGACTCATTTCGCTTTAAAATTCGATGTGGATTTCCATCTTCATAAAGCTTTATCGTCCGTATCAACTATTCATTCCTATTCGCTACTTGCGAGACATCCACTGCCCTACTGTGTAAAATGCGGCACCAAGCGCAGCAGGGATTCGTGAATATGTACATATATCTCCACTTAGACATTTTGGAAGCATTTTCAGGCCTTAGCTCGAATAATAAGCATTTTGGCGTTCATGGTTCTTAAGGTAAACCCTGGATAAGACGCCTCCTTTATCATACCCTGTCGAGACATTTCTCCTATAGGTCTCTGGGATGAGAGATAGTAGCGCGGCGCTAAGTGGAGATGTTTAACCAAACATGGCTAGTAGGTATCTTTACATATAAATTTATACGTAAGGTACAAAACCTTAATAAAAAGATCAACTTTTATACTTAATCTTTTATCCAAACCCATATATTGATATTCAGGAGCAGCCTTTCAGTTCGAAAAAGTATTGATATTCAGTACCATTATATACAAATTTATACGTAAAGCTACCTGCTAGCCATATTTAGTTAAACATCTCCACTTAGCGCCGCGCTACTATCTCTCATCCCAGAGACCTGTAGGGCAACGAAGGACATCATGAATATTCTAGTGGCGCGCTTTAAGCTTGGGGGGATACTTAACATGCCCACTCGCGAGATGAGGTAAACTCGAAACGGTTCTCCGCCGTCACTTTACCACGGTACGTACCCAACAAGGCAAAGGCTTGCCCTAGCAAAGAGAGGATCCCATGTCCAAGGGAGGCTCCTTTAGCTGCTTTGAAACCCACATGCTTGACACAAATCGTGTTGGATATCGGTTCACGCTGGTTGTCTAGGGGTTTCTGTACGAAGTAATCGACAGCCAATTCGGGGCTAGCTCAGCTCGTGTGCAATGGCCCAGCCTGCGTAGATCGAACAAGATCTCCGTATATATGCCAGCACCGCTCACCACGGATCGTCGTCTTCCATGTTCTTGAGCAGGCCGGTTTCCCTTTCTTACCTACGTTATTCTATTCGCAGCTGACGATCCCGTGGATCTGTTTTATTCTTAATTCACTCTTTATTGTGCCTTATCATTCACTTATCGGCCCGGTGCTGTCCATATCCTCATACTTCAAGATGCCGTCTATTTCGTCAACCATCTTTTCTCTTGCGTCCCTGTTGGCTGTTGCCCAGGCTCACGGTGTTGTCTTAGGGGCACAGGGTATTCAAGGTTCGCCTGAAAGTGTCGGCTTCAAGGTAGAACCCGAATTGGCGAGAAATTGCACATCTATCAGCCCGTGCCAACAAGACACGACAATTATCCGAGATGCCGAGATCGCCGCGAACGTAGTGAACGAGTGCGGACGAACAGAACTATCGGGTAACATCGATATCGGAGAGAACACGGAGAACGCGCTTGCTGCTGGCGCTGTCACTCAAGTCAAGGCTGGAACACAAGTCAAGGTTACCATCCACCAAGTTAACGCTGATGGTGCCGGTCCCTACGCCTGCGACCTGGTATGTATATACCTTATCAATTACAATGTAGCATCATGATCTCAATCTAACCAATATAATAGGTCGAGGCTGGTAACAATGGTGTCATCACTCAGAACCTGACAGTTGAGAACAACGTTCCCGGTGTCAACGGTTTCTCCCAGGCCAAGACTCAGCAATTCGAGATCCTCGTAAACATGCCTGAGAAGTTCTCTTGCAGCGGATGTAAGTTTATGTCTACAAATTTACTAGAAACCTTCAATATTCTAATGACTACTTTATAGCTTCTGCTGGTAACGTCTGCACTGTCCGTTGCCGAAACAATGCTCTCGCTGGTCCTTTCGGTGGATGTTTCCCCGTTCAACAGGTCGATGTTGAGCCTAGCCAGAACACTGCTGCTAAGGTCCCCACGTCGCTGTCTCTTGAGAAGGTCTTCAAGCAGGTTTCCCAGGACCAGGCTGACCTCCCCGCTGCTATCGCCGCTATTCAAGACGCGGGCAGTGATGAGGGTTTGAAGAACGCGGCTGTTGTCAGCTCGCTTTTGAAGCAGACTGTTACTAGCTTACCCGCTTCTTTCCAGTCTCTTGACATTGTCACGGGACAAGCTGAAGCCACGGCCACAGCTGATGCTGGAGCTACCACTACCAGTGCCGCTGCGACTGCTACCGCCACTAGCGGAAGCGGACGCAACGGAAATGGACGTGGTAACAAGGGAAACAACGGCAATGGTAATGCCAATGCCGGTAACAACGCCAACGCCGGTACTAACAATGCTGGTACTGGTAACGCTGGAAAGGGCCGAAACAATGGCTTCGGTGGCTTCGGCAACCGACGCAGAACCGTCTTCCGTGCGTAGACGGAGCATGTAGCGCAGTGGTGGTTATTTCTCTATGAGCTCAGAGGTGATGACGAAAGGCTGCGCCTGTTAGCGATTTACTTAGGAGTTGGGAGATACCGGATAAAGGATTGATAGGGCACCTTCGACTGTACCAAGATTTGTCTGTACATATATCTAACGTAGACTCCTGAACCATAAATTCATAAGCCGTAATGGCCGTGTTAATAGTGCGCAGTATTGGATATAATTGACTTAGTGTTTGAAAGCTCTTGGTGGTACAATATTGGCTCCAGTACGAACATATGTGACTAGGAGTCGCGTACCGGAGTTAACATAATTCCAAGCCAATAGGAGTGTGTGGTGGCTTTCCTAGTCCTATACTTGTATGGCCAAACACCCCGAGCAACAGCTCAATGACATGAACTTGCAGATGGATGCGCCAGCTATGCCTATTTGCACCGCGTTTGACTATAGTAAATGTGGTTAATAGCATGGCTAGATGCTTTTTAGACCCGCTGCTTGGTAATCGTTTGCCAGCTTCATTATATTACTTCCTAACTCGGCAGTTATTTAAATCCGAGACAGTTAATCCCGAACCGAGACAATGACGATAGTCCGAACGAACGAAGAATACAAAACTATGACTATTAACCTATGGAAATATGAAAGAAGAAGATAGACATATCAGATCTATAGGGTAGTTACTGTTGGCGTGGTAAATATAAACTTATATATTCGTCTTTGCCCCCCTATAAGATACCAACAAGCCGGTCTCCCTCTCTCTTCCAATTCTACTTACGAATCGACAATACCGTATATCTACCTCTTACAATACCTAGCTAGAGAAATAAACACACATAATGGCAACACACCTCGCAGCTTTCATTACCGGAAAGGGCCAGCCGCTCGAAGTCCGGGAGACGCAGACGCCCAAACCCGGGCCTGATGAGCTTCTCCTCGACGTGAAGTCGATCGCCCTGAATCCCATCGACTGGAAGATGCGTGACTTAGGCTTCTTCATTACCAATTACCCCGTCATCGTTGGTTCAGATGTTGGCGGTGTAGTCCTCGAAGCTGGTTCCAACGTATCTTCCACCTTCAAACCCGGAACTCGTGTCACAGCTTTTGCGCCGACCTTCTTCGCTCAGGGAGCTCCTGAATACGGGGCTTTTCAACAGCGGCCTATTATCCCTGCGAAAAACGCCACGCCAGTTCCTGACTACCTTTCGTTCAACGAAGCTGCTATCCTTCCTATGGCTGTCGCCACAACTTGGTCTGGATGGGAAACTATTGGTATTCCCCGCAATACCTCTTATTCTCCTAGTGATAAGCAAGGACTCCTGGTTTGGGGTGCTGCTGTAAGTAAATCTCCGAGTCTCCTTACCTTAGGGTGAAGACTTTCAAGATACACCATACGGCGCCTAACCGTCTTCTAAAATGTCGAGCCAGTGAAAGTACTAACACAAAATGTTATAGTCCAGTGTCGGTAGCATAGTAGTACAAAGTGCCAAATTACTCGGTTTCACCGTGTACGCCACCGCGAGCTCAAAGCACCACGCATACATCAAATCGCTAGGCGCATCCAAAGTCTTCGACTACAAAGACCCCGGCGTAGAAGATGCCATCATCAAGGCAGCTAAGGAAGACCGTCTCACATTCCAATACGGCTACGATGCCGTGGGCGCTATAGAATCCTGCCATACCATCCTGAAGGCGTTAAAAGGAAGCGGTCCAGCTCATCTGGCCTCTGCACCTCGTCTAAACCCAGATGGACCTACTACCGACGATGTCGAGACCAAGTTCGTTGCTGCTTCGCTTGACGATAAGGTGCGAAGTGAGCAGTTCTCGTTCTGGTTTAATACTTGGCTGAAGGAGAGGCTGGAGAAGCGTGAAATCGTCCCGAGCCCTAAGATCCAAGTAGTCGAGGGAGGTCTACACGGTATCAACAAGGGCCTCGACATTTTGAAAACGGGAGTTAGCGGCACTAAGCTGGTCCTCGAGCTGTAGTGAATAGGTATAGTATAATTTACGCAACATCTTTAGTGAAAGATATAATGGTAATAATTACATCAATTGTTGCTATGAATTTAGAATGCCTAGTCCAAGATAACCCCCCAATCCCCCAATCCCCTTGACACTTGATAGCCTTTCCTCCATATACCTCATTATCATACAAAGAGAGATACATAAAGTTATGCCTTACAGCCCACCCAATTAAACGCAGTATGCTAATATTCGACTTCTATACTCTTAAAGCTGCACGTCTAATCGCAAGGCCAGCTTCAAGCCCCACCAGAGAGTAGCCCCTATAGTAATAATATTTAGATGAATGCTCATCGCATGATTACGCGAGAACGTCTTATTTAGCGCTCTCATATCGTCGCTGACACCGGTCGGATCATTTGATTTCTTTCCATCCCGCGTTTCTGTGGCTTAGTTAGCGATTGTCATGCCGCTATGCCAGTGCTTAATAGATAGGTACACACCTTGATGAATCCGATCAATCATAACCTGTCGCGTCCGAGGCCCATAAAGCATCAGATTCAACAGCGCCGTGATCCCCGCAATAGCAAATGGTATCCAATTTCCCTTGCTCGACTGCAGCGTCAGCGGCCCGTATGGAGGAACCGTCGCTGCTGTCAATAGGAGAAGCAAGGTTTGTCCCCGAAAGTAAAGGGGGAAGATGCGCTTCTGGAGTGTGGTGAAAGCGGACCGTGGTAATTCTTGGTAGCATACTTTTGTCATTACGAATGACTGGTATAGTTCCATGCCAAGGAGCGTGGAGTAAGATAGGAGGTGGATGGGTGCCAAGACGCTGGCCGGAGACAAAGCTGATTGTAAGAAAGCCATTGGGGGCATAATTGATCGATGAGTTAACTTCACATAGACAGTATGGAAATATTTGAGCGATTTGGGATGTATTTATAATAAAAAGCTCTTGTTGGTGGTTGCTAATTGTTCACAGTGCCGGCCTGACACGGAGGTTGAGCTTCGGTGCGCTCCCGTCGCTAAGCTTACGAAGCTCCGAAGGTGGTCGGAGATGGATCCCAACGCACCAATGACAAGTCCTGATGACGCAGCCACTGGCAATATAAACATGGTATAGGCTGACGACTAAATAGTGAAGAGAATGGCGTGTCTCCGTTGACAGTCGCCCTTTTCCCAAGTCACTGGGTGTTGATTTGTAATAATTCATGGTGATTACGACTCATCGAATGTTAATTCGCCCTTCTATTGACGATGGTCTAATCCTATCCAAGTAGCTCCGCTATTCTATTAGTTTCCAATCTATCGCGAATGTCCTATATGCTTGGACTACTACTGGTATGTTGACGACTGACGCCCTGCGCTATGAGATGTGAGGGTTCAACAGCCCAGGTCTACGTGGGTGCTGAAATAATAATCCTTCGATTTAGAAAGTCATCCTCATCTTCAAAGCATCTTTTGCGATGATCTCGTCCTTCTTAGAGAATAATTCGGCCATATCCCACATCACACTAAGATATCTACCCGCTAGCCAGTCTTGTCTCCGACTCGTCAAGAAGGCTATTGTATCACCACTTAAGGCGGGTGTGCATTTAAGCCAAGCTTATTGTTCTTAGATTCAGCAATGACATTTGAATATTATAGAAGATGACATACCTTGTGTTGCTTCTGGTAACCCCCGAGTCAGATCCGTAGCGACTCTATGTATGCGAGCAGTCAGTCAACCTACAACTAGATGGTGAGTAGGGGCGCTCTTTACGTACCCTCCTGGATGTATTGAATAGGTAAGTAGTCCCTATAGCAACGTCAGATAACCACATAACCATACATTTTGGGGAAATGCATAGCCCAGCTCACCTGATCTGAGTACTCCGCCATGAGATACTCAGTGAGCCTCAGAAGAGCAAACTTGCTGAGCTGATAGCCACTTCCGCCTGTATGGAAATGATGGACTCCAGTTGAGGACATGTTAATAATAGTCTTATCGCCACCCTTTAACATCAGGGGTAGAAAAGCCTTGGCAACAAGATAGCTTCCGCGAACGTTAACTTCGAAGTTCCGCCACCACCCCTCCTCGTCTCCGTCTAAGATCTTGTCGTACTTGGATAGATATCCTGCGTTGCCAATTAGGATATCGAGTCGGCCCCATTGCCCCTCTAAGACGTGAGCAGCATTAGTCACACTCGCCGAATCAGTGACATCTAACCGCAGCACGGTTACCACTGGTTTCGCTCGTCCGGCATCTGCCGCGCTTTTCTCGATCTCTGTTACAACTTCCGGGACCTCTGAGCGAGAAGTGATAGCGATGTGCGATGCGCCTGCTCTAGCATACGATAAAGCGATACCTTTTCCAATCCCCTTGTTTCCCCCAGTCACCAAAATAACCTTTCCAGTGCAATTTGACCTTGTAACAGGGTCAATGTAGTCGTACGTATCATGATGGTTGGTACAATAGTCGGCGCCCCAGTTGGGCGCTACTGGCGGATAACTTACGCCTGCAAGCTGTTCACGCAGCGCTTGTCCTGCCATCTCGCTAGGCAGATACAGAAATCCGGTTTGGGAGCGAAGAAATATTTATACTAAAGGGAAGCAGAGGTTTTTGGTGTTGAACAAATAATTCAAGTTACTACACCAGTGTAACTCAGGAGCGGGGAGAACTATGAAGTATGAATATTGGATTTTCTGGTGTTTTCTCACGTAATTCGTAAGAGGCAAAGTATGTAAACCTATCTGCTAGCTCCATAATATTCTTAGCGTTTACTACAGAGGTGTAGAGGGAATATATTAAAAAACCCCAAAATTTATTAATATACTTACCCCTATTAAATTTTTTACTATTATATATGTAATTATCGAATAGTAAAAATTTTTTATTATTAATAGTTATAATTATAAGATATATTAAAGCTTATATAAATTTTATATTATTTTAATTAATTTAATTTAAATTATTTTATTTTGTTACGAAATCGATAGCTTTTTTATAATAAAATTTCTAATTTTACCAAATTATTATGTTAAGTTTTTATTAATATATAAAAATATTAAATAAACGTATTTTAGTAAAAATAAATATAAAATATATTAAATGGATATTATTAATATTTTAATTAAATAAAATGTTATTAATTTTATTAAATTACTATTATATATAAAAAAAACTACCGTAATTTTATTTAAAATATAAATAGCTTAATAAATCTTTACGCTTATAATCTTAAATTTAAATAAAGGATTTAAATTTAAAAAGTATTATAAAATATTAAAAAAAATACGCGAAATAAACGTAATAAATAATTGTAAACCTATAAAAATATATACTATTAAAATTGAAATTAATTTATATTTAAATAAGTTATATTAGATATTTATTTATAATAATTTAGCTATAATAGTAATTAAAATATATAAAATGTTAGTTAAATAAACTATTAAATTATTTATTAATATTTTTATTTATAAAAATTATTTAATATTTATTAAATATTTATTTATTAAATTTTAAATAAAATTATATTTTCGTTAAAAAGAGTGGAGATTTATTAGTATAGTTAATATAAATAATAATAAATAAATTAATATTTTAAATATTAATTATAATTAACCTTATACTATTACAATAATTAAAGATAAATTTATAATTAAAAACAAAATTAAAAAAAAGAAATATTTTTTATTTAAATTTTTATTTAAATAAGGTTATTATAAATTTTATAGTAAATAAAAAGGGAATAAATAATTAAAATTAAAAAAAGGTTTTAATAAATAATAGTAAGTTAATAAAAGGTAAAATAAAAGTAATTAAAACCAAAAAGAATATAGATAAATTTTGCAAAATTAAAACAAATAAAATATGGATTTATAAAGTAGCGAAAATAAAGTAAAAAAATAAAGTTAAAAAGGAAAAAATTAAATTTAAAAAAAATAAAGCTTTTATTAAATAAATAAATTTATAATAAAAGAATTAAACTATTATTTTTTTATATAAAATAAAATTAAAAACGCGTAAAAAAATTTAGGATAATATAAGTTTATTAAAATTTTTTTTAATATTATTATAATTTAATTAAATTTATATATTTTAACTATTTATTTAATTAAGGTCAATTATTAATCTTTTTATTTAATTCTATTTTATTAAAATTATTTAAATTAATTTTAGTTTTATATATAAATATTTGTAAATATTCTTAACTTTCTTTAATTTATTTTAATTTAATAATTTTAGGTTTAATTTTTATGGTTATATAAGTTTATAAATTGTTATATAAATATTTATATAATTTTAAATAAAGTATATTTTTTTTATTTAATTTTATTTTTTTAAATATATTATTAAAATTAGTTAAAATCTTTTTGTAAATAATTATTATATGTTTTAATAAATAAATGTTAAAGTTAATATTATTAAAAAAAACTAAATTTTGTAATTTTTTTTATTTATTTTTATTTAGTAGAATATAATAATTATTAATTTTATTAAAATTAAATATATTATAAAATATTTAAAATTTATTAAAAATAACGTAAAAGCGATTTTTTTATTTATGTATATAGTAAAAATTTTATGTTTATATAAATTAAACAAATTTAATATAAATAATAAAAGTAAAAATATAAATAAAAACTATTTTATTAATTAATTTACTTTATATTTAATAATGTTTATAAATTAATTAGCTAAAATATTTTTAAAATAAATATAATTAATATTAATTATATAAAATAAAATATAAATTAAATAAATTTATTTGTTAAAAAATAATTTAGTTATTATAAAATTAAAACTATTAGTTTTTAATTTATTAATTAGTAATATTTTTACCATATAATAAATAATTTTTAAAATAAAAAAGATTAATAAATATATTAATTATTTTAATTTATAATTTAATTTAATTTAATATATAAATATTATTAATAAACGTATAAAAATTAACCGTTAAAAATAATACCTATATAAATAAATTGAAATTAATATTAATTTAATTATAATTATTTATTTTTATAATAAGTAAACAAAAATAATATATAGTTTATATATCTTAAAATAAATAATAATATATTATAATTATTAATATAAATTTATTACTACAATTTAATTAAATTATAAAAAAAATAAATTTAAATTTTTTTATAAAATATACATATTACATAAATATAAAATAAATTATACAAGTTAAAACGTTACAATAAAATTAAATAATTAACCGTAAATAAGTATTTATAACAGTATAAATTTTAATTTTATATACCTTTAATTTATAATAAATATTAATAAATTAAATATAGTTTAATCTAAACATAATTTAACCACCTCGTTATTAATAAACTTTTATATAATATTATTTAACCTTTTTTAAATATAATTTAAAAAATGTTTTAAATAAAACATATTTAATAATATTGATTTATTATTAATAAACGTATATATAAAATATTTAACAACTTATTTTTTTTATAATATTTTTAATATATTATTTATTTTTAAAGAAATTTTATAATTTTTATAAATAAAACCTTAAACAAATAAGATTAAATTGTTAAAAAATATTAATAAATTTATAAATAATAATAATATTTTATTTTAAAATAATAAAACTTTTATTACGCAATTAATAAATTAATTATTTATTATTAAAATCGTATTTAAAGAAAAATTTGCAAATATAATTTAATTTTAGTTATATTTTAATTAATTTCTTATTATTAAAATTAATTTAATAAGACTATTGTTATTAATATACCTTCGTTTTACTATCGAAATTTATTGGTATATTTAATACATTTAAATACATTCCATCCATTTTTTAATCCTAAGATATTATAATGTATTAACCTTTATAATTTATTTATTTTTACATTTTAATATATATAATTTATATTGTTATTTTCGCCTTAATTAAAGTTTTTTAATAATATAAGTTTTAATTGAATGTATGCGTTATTTTAAAAGTTATTTTAATATACGTGTGTATTTAATTAAATATTTAATTAAATATAAATGCGACCGTAAAAAAGCCTTTTATAAAGCCGTATTTAAAGTTTTATTTAAAGATTTATCAAATATATTAACCTATATAATTTATTGGATTTGACAATTTAATATATATAATTTATATTAAGATTTTCGTTTTAATTAAAGCTATTTAATGATATAAGTCTTAATTAAATGCATGCATTATTTTGAAAATTACTTGAATATATATTATTTAATTTAATATAGATGCGACCGTGCGAAAGGATATCACGTGGTCTTTTAAAAGCCACTATTAATATACATACTTAAATAACTTTTAAAATAACACATGTATTTAATTGAAACTTATATTATTAAAAAGCTTTAATTGAGGCGAAAATAACGATATAAATTGTATATATTAAAATGCAAAAGTGAATAAATTAAAAAAGCTAAAAGGTCAAAATGTGGTATATTTGATTTAATTGAAAAAATTGGTAAAGATGTACCTTTTGTACAAGATGTACCAATAAGCCCTTGATAATAAAATAAAGGTGTACCAATAGCAATAATTTTTAATAATATTTAAATAATAATATCGATATTGTATTTTTAATATAAAATTAAATATATAACTTTTAAAATTATTTTATTTTAATATTTTTAAATTATTTAATTACGATAAAATTTAAAATTAATGTAAAAATAAAATATTTTAAATTATTAAAATATATTTAAAATTTAAGATTATAAGTATAATTAATTTTATAATAATAAAATAATAAAATAAATAATTTTATTTAAAATATTATAAATGTAATAATATTTTATATTAAAAATTTTTATTTAAATATATTTATTTTTAAATAAATAAAATTTAATTAAATTTATAAATATATATACAAATATTATTTATTTTTAATTAATTTTAACAGTTTATAATAATTATAATAACTTTTATTTTAATATATCTTTTCTTAAAACATTATTAATAAATAATATTAAGTTAAAAATTTTTTTTAATATTTATATAAATTAAATTAAATTTATTATTATTTATTTGGGGTATATTTAAAGTTGCGTATATTTAATTTATTATTAATTATTTTACGGTAATATTTAAACTAGCGTATAATACAATTTTGCAGTTATTTAAAAGTAAGTACGAGTTTGTTTTTATTATTTTTTTTTATTATTAAGTTTAAATAAATTTGTTTTTTACTTTTATTTTTTTTTATTAACTTAATTAACCTTATATATAGTTAATAAAATTTAAGCGGTAAATATCTCGATAAAATGAATATATTAACGCTATATTAAAAAACTGGCAGTTTATATACGTTTCGTTAAATAAATCTTTATTTTCCGCAATATATAACAAATATGGTTTACGAGATTTATAATTTTTACATTATTTATATAAATTATTATTTTTTTTTTAATTATAAAAAAGGTTATAAATGCCGATATTTTTTGTTATTAATTAAGATTAAATTTTAATTAAATAATGACTTTTTTTTTACAAAGTTTTTTAAGTTTAATTAATCTTATAATAATTTTATTTATATTA